TTTTTTTTTTTTTTTGAGATGAGTTTCACTCTTGTCACCCAGGCTGGAGTACAATGGTGCAATCTCGGCTCTCTGCAACCTCCGCCTCCCAGGTTTAAGTGATTCTCCTGCACCAGCCTCTTGAGTAGCTGGAATTGCAGGAGCCTGCCAGGACTTCTGGCTAATTTTTGTATTTTCAGAGAGACAGGGTTTCACCATGTTGGCCATGCTGGTCTCGACCTCCTGACCTCAGGTAATCTCCCAAAGGGCTGGGATTACAGGTGTGAGCCACTATGCCCGACCAAGATTTTTTTTTTTTTTTTAAGGAAAATCTCAACAGAAAAAGATGAAAATAAACAATTGACCTGAAAGAAATAGAGTTACTTCCGGGAATGGGGGATAAATACTTAAAAGTTATAAGTGTAATCCTCAAAGAAATTCATGTCATGAGAACAATGCATCCATTAAAAATCAGTAACTAGAAACTGGGCGGGGGGGGAAACACTGAAAAAAGAAAGTGAAAAAAACTGAAAGTCAAGGAAATGGTCCTCTTGGATTGATCCTTCATATTATATATTTTTTCTTTTTATATTTTTCTTCTGTATTTGGAAGAATCTATCTAAATGTATGTGGAAGAACGTATCTAAATTCTGAATAGAATAGAGAAAATGTAAGAACATAATTAAAGAAATAACTGAAGAAAATTTTCCAGAAGTGAAAAATAGGACTCATAGAGTGCCAAGAAGGATGAATGAAAAAAGATTCACCACCTAGAAACACTCTGATAAAATATCACAGAACCAATGATAAAGAAAACAGTCTAATAAAATCTTCCAGAGAAAAAAGTATGATACCTGCAAAAGAAAGACACAGCATTAGACTTGTCATCAGATACACTAGACGCTAAAAAGCAACAAAATGTCTTCAAAGTTTTGAAGAAAACAAAATGATTGTGGACTAAGTCTATTCCCAAGCTATCATTAAATGAGCAGGAAAGGTAAAGGCATTTTCAGACATATGAAGCCTGTGGAAACTAAATTACCTGTTTAATCCTTTCTGAAAAAAATTGCTTGAAATTAGTTTTACCCCAACAAGGTGGGAAAAAAATCTGTGACAAATGAGGACATGGAATACATAAAGCAGTAGACCTAACCCAGGCATGATACAAAGAAATCTCAGAAAACAGGTATGCAACTGACTTGGAAAGCAGCTAGTCTAAATTACATGTGTGAGAGCTGGAAAGATAGCTTCAGGAGCAAAACGAATTTATTTTAGCAAATATAGTGCCATTATTAGGAAGCTAATAGGATACCTTAATTGGCAGAGGTAGAATTACATTTTTTCCCTGCAGATGCAATCATACTTACTGGTTTTATAGTGAATGATGATTGCATAATTATAATATGGCAAATAGTTGATAGGTTTTCAATGTTTAAGAATCAACCTATAAATAAAGCATAGAAGACTTGTATTGATTGATGTCTTATGGCTCCTTAAAATGTATAAAACCCAAGTGTAGCCCGACCACTTTGGGCACATGCTGTCAGGACCTCCTGAGGCTGTGTCAATGACATGTCCTTAACCTTGGCAAAATAAACTTCTAAATTGGTTGACACTTGTCTCAGCTTTTTTGTTTTCAGCCTCTATTACCTTCCTGAGGCTGCTGTAACAAATTACCACAAACTGAGCAGCTTAGACAACATAAATTGATTCTCTCACAATTCTAGAAACTGGAGGTCAGAAATCAAGACGTCAGCAGGGCTATTCTCTCTGAAAGCTCTAGAGAAGGATTCTTCCTTGCCTCTTCCTCGCTTGTGGTGATTACTGGCAATCTTTAGCGTTCCTTGGTTTACAGACACATACTCCAATCTCTGCCTCCTCCTTCATGGCATGGCATTCTCCTTGTGTCTCCATCTGTATCCAAATTTCCCGCTTCTTATAAAGATACCAGTCATTGGATTAGGGCCTCCTTCGATTCAGTATGACCTCATCCTTACTTGAATTACATTTGCAAAGACCCTATCCCAACTAAGTTCACTCTCACAGGTTCTAGGGGATAGGACTTAAACATATCTTTTTGGGGAACACAATTAAACCCACAACACCCCCTATAATCAATTTTCCACACAGCAGCCAGAATGATCTTCACAAATGCACATCGCGTCCTGTCCACTCTCCTGCCTACAGAGCTGTGTCTCCCTGGCCTCTTTCTGCTTCTCAAACTTCTACCAGCTTCCTCTTACACTCCAGCCACACCGGCCTTCTTTCTATCACTCCAACACATCAAGCTCATTCCTGCCTCAGGGTCTCTGCCTGGAAATCTGTCTGGCTCCCTTCTCATCATTCAAGTCACAGCTCAGATGTCACTTCCTCACAGAAGTCTCCTCTGCCCTACGTACTAAAAGCAACACATCCCACGGGTATTCTCTTTCACATAACCCTAGTTTCTTCGCAGCACTTACCAATACCAGAAATTATTTTACTTAAGTCCCCTCTTACTTAAATATCAGCTGTATTGAACACAGATTCAATCACTATAGTTCTAAATGCTAAAACGGGACGTCACAGAAAGTTTTCATTTTTATTTAGTCAAGTACATCTCTTTTCCTTCATGACTTAAGACTAGTGCTTAGTACAGAATAAATGCTAAAAAAAAAAAAAAAAAAAAGGAAGTTAACTGTTATTACCACCGTAATAGTTTGCAATCATTTGTTTGTACAATCTCCCTGGCTAGACTGAGACCGAAGACAGAAACCCATTTATTTGCCATTTTACCAATCCCAGTGGAGTCGGGCACAGTGGCTCAGGCCTGTAATCCCAGCACTTTGGAAGGCCAGGGAGGGCGGATGACCCGAGGTCAGGAGTTCAAGACCAGCCTGGCTAACAGGGTGAAACTCTGTCTCTACTAAAAATACAAAAATTAGGGTGTGGTGGCACGCACCTGTAATCTCAACTACTGGGAAGGTTGAGAAAAAGGAAAATCCCTTGAACTCGGGAGGCGGAGGTTGCAGTGAGCCGAGATTACGCCTCTGCACTCCAGCCTGGGTGACGGAGCGAGACTCTGTCTCAAAACAAACAAACAAACAACAACAAAAATCCCAGTAGTCTGGAACATATTAAGCATTAATAAGAAGTGCTGAATATAATTAGCGAATAACAATTCTGAACAAAGTTATTTTCTTTGAGATCATGGATTCCTTATGTTAAAAATAAATTTTTACAGATAGAAAATGGGACTGTTCTTCCTGCTTTTTGATTTGGTTCAAATCTGAGGAAGTGGGGGCGACCAGTCTTTAACAGATCTAGCAAGACTGTCGAGCTTTTCCAACCTCGCAGGAAGAGAATGGTAATTGCTCTAAAGTCAACACTGTATGTCCATCATATTGGAGATCAAAAGAGACAACGGCATTTTTTTCTGAAGAGGGGGAGGGGAAACCAAAAGTTTTTGTTTAATTTGGGGATGCAGTCAGATGTGACTTAGTTTATAACGACACATTCATCTGGCGCTGAACCTCCCATAAGGAATCTTATCGGCTTCCTTGATAAAACAACATCCCAACACTTTAATCTAGAGACGGAGGAGCCCCACTTGGGGTAAGAAATGTAGGGCTGTATGTAATGTCTAGCTGTCCATTCCACGAGAGTCTCCCACCATGCCGAATTCGGAGGCTCGCGGTATTCTACCGGGAGATGGCGGGCTATCTCACCCCAGGTTTCCCCTAACACAGAGTTGCAGTCGCTGAACAAACTGCCCTGCGTTAGTCAGAAGCTGTGAAGTAACGAGACGGCCACGGTGTACAGCAGAAGAGGTGCAGGGAAGCTTCAGGCGGGAAAGACAAATGCCAAACGCGGAGAAAAAGAAGAAAAGCTGCGAGAAGGCAGGTCAGTCAGGAACACCGCCATTTCTCATAACTCATGCTACTTTGAATTTTCTCATCTAACGACCGCACCCGCACTGTTCACACTGTCTTCTTCCCACTCTCACTCCGTATGGGCCAAACCTCTACCTGCCCACTGGAGAGCAGCGCGAGTGGCTTCAGGAAGCGGCTGCCGCCTCCGAGACTCACCGGCCTGCCGTGCTGCCACTTCTACACCGAAATGGCCGGTCCGAGACCGCGTCTCCAGATGCGGCGTCCCAAAAGGTCCCCGCTTTCGAGCCCCACCGCGATGTTGCAGCGGTCCGAAAACGAGAGACGCTCAGCCGACGTCCCGGCCCCCGTAGGCGGACGGCTCCGCGACCCCCGGCCCCGGATGTTGATATGTCGTCTGCCCCGGAAACGGCGACAAGAAGCTCAAGGGGGCGGAGGCGGTGTTACCGGGCTCTCCGGAAGGAGACGTGGCGGCGGTTGGGCCGGGGCTACCGGGCCCTTTATAGTCCCGCCGCCTCCTCCTCCACCTCCTCCTCCTCCTCTCCTCCTAGAGCAGAGGAGGTTGTGGCGGTGGCTGGAAAAAGCGGTGGCGGAGGATGGAGGAAGGAGGAGGCGGCGTACGGAGTCTGGTCCCGGGCGGGCCGGTGTTACTGGTCCTGTGCGGCCTCCTGGAGGCGTCTCGCGGCGGCCGAGCCCTCCCTCAACTCAGCGATGACATCCCTTTCCGAGTCAATTGGCCCGGCACCGAGTTCTCTCTGGTCAGTGCCCTCACTAACCCCGCAGCCACCCCTCCTCCTGATACTAAGGGTTCGGCCTCTTCCCTCGGTTTTCTTTGCTTTTTCTCCCTAAGACCTTCTCTGCAGACTCTTACCTTCTCCAAGCCAAAGCTGCTTTTATGTCGCGTTCATTCATTCATTCGTTCTCACGTTATGTGGAGGCATCCCCCTTGCTGAGCATTAGGGATCCAGCGATCACCTGCTCTCTACCTTTTTAATTCTGTCGCACTAGACCTTGCTTCCAAACACTCCCACCCTGCAGAAGCAGCTTTCGTAGAACAACGTCAGGTGCACTTACTCATCTTCCTTTTGGAAAACTAACTGTGGCTCTTTCTCCACCAGCAGACTTCTTTCCTTCAGTATTACACGGCACGCTGCCCACACCACAGTACTTCAGACTCGAGTTCCCTCTCTCGTATTCGTTCTCCCTCTGTTGTATACACACACGAACATACGCAAACGCACAGCTCCAAGGGAATCTTTTCCTTTCAGAGTTGTTTCTGAGAGGGCTGTTTGGCCTGTGAGATGTTAACGACCCTTTATGCAGAATATGCTTTACAGTTTTCATGTATTACGACTGCTATTTGAGTCCCCAGAACATGAGCTTCTATGTTGTTTTCCTATAGTGAAGAACATATTTATAACCTCGCGGAAATGAAAATTCAGTCTCGGGGGAGTGGACCGCTGAAAAGTCTTCCTGTCCACGTGTACCTACTGCAGGCCCATACAAATTGTACTCTTATGACACTTACCATGTAATAATTAACTCATTTATTTCAAATTGAAGTCCCGGAAAAAGCAAATTTTTTTTAACTTTTTATTCCAACTACCTTCAAGCCAATACTTTATTATATTCTTTTATTACGATATTATTGAAACAGTAAGTGATACTATGATGTCAAAACAAGATGTATCAAGTTAATGGATGTTATGATTACCAGATAGCTTTCTATTTGCAAATGTTAGGGGTTTTTTGGTTTGGTTTGGGTTGGGTGTTTTTGTTTTTGTTTGTTTTTTGAGACAGGGTCTCAGTCTGTTGCCCATCCTGAAGTGCAGTGGCACGGTCACCACTGGCTGCAGCCTCGACCTCCTGGGCTCAAGAGATCCTCCTGCCTCAGCTTCCCAGTAGCTGGGACTACAGGGAAACCCCACTACCCCTGGCTAATTTTTTTTTTTTTTTTCTAGAGTCAGAGTCTTGAACTCCTGGGCTCAAGCAATCCTCCTGCCTCAGCCTCCCAAAGTACTGGGATTACATATGTGAATCAAATGTTAAGTTTTTTTGCTTATTTTTCACATCTGGTTTGTTTCTCCAGCCTTTGTTCTCCCATTCTGGTTGTTCAATGGCTTCTGAATTTATCTAGGTAAACATTTTTCTGGGAAGTCAAATTTCTCTTTGTATTGCCACGAAATATTGCTATATTAAAATGCCTATGCAAAATTTTGTTATGAATCAGATATAACTTTAGCAAGCTTGGATGAGAATACTTTAATCTCTGTTATTGTATCCAAAGAGCACACTTGGAGTGAATATGGCAGATGTTTGAAGAATTATATCATTAAAATTTTTTACTCTTGCACCTGTGGTTTTTTTTAAATTTAAAAAAACTTGCTGATACATAGCCCTGAAAACTTAATTGCCTATAAGTGAGCGATTAAAACTAGCATTTTTAGAGGTCACTACCAAATTGTCATTCCATTTTCTTTCAGTCTTAGCATATGCTACACCAACCTTTCACGTATCTAACAATTTTATTTCAAAAAAAATTCTTTGGCCAGGCGTAGTGGCTCACTCACGCCTGTAATCCCAGCACTTTGGGGGGCCGAGGCAGGCGGATCATAAGGTCAGGAGTTCAAGACAAACCTGACCAACATGGTGAAACCCTGTCTCTACTAAAAACACAAAAATTAGCTGGGTGTGGTGGTGCACACCAGTAATCCCAGCTACTTGGGAGGCTGAGGCAGGAGAATCGCTTAAACCCGGGAGGCGGAGGTTGCAGTGAGCCAAGATCGCACCACTGCACTCCAGCCTGGGTGACAGAGTAAGACTCCATCTCAAAAAAAAAAAAAAAAAAAAAAATTCTTTTTTAAAGGCTGGAGTGCAGTAGGTATTTATAGGCATGATTATGCTCACTACAGCCTCAAACTCCTGGACTCAAGCGATCCTCCTGCCTCAGCCTCTGGAGCAGCAAGGACTACACGTGGTCACCATTGCATCTGGCTTTTTTTTCTTTAAGTCTGCGTTAGTTTGAGAAAAATTAGAGATACTGTTCTATGAATTGGCACAAGGCCTATGTCCTTTATGTAAAAATAAGCCACAATAGTCATTATCATTGGCATTTTTTTTTTTAATATTTCTATAATCTTAAGGCTTCCCTTTGCTGCTACATTTAACTGAAACTACTGGCTGGGCACAGTGGCTCACGCCTATAATCCCAGCACTTTAGGAGGCTGAGCTGGGTGGATCACTTGAGGCCAGATGTTTGAGACTAGCCTGGGCAACATGGCAAAACCCTGTCTCTACTGCAAATGAAAAAATTAGCCCATCATGGTGGCACATGCCTGTAGTTCCAGCTACTTGGTATGCTGAGGCAGGAGAGTTGCTTGAACCTTGGAGGCAGAAGTTGCAGTGATCCAAGATCGTGCCACTGCACTCCATCCTGGGCAACAGAGAAGGAGTCTGTCTCAAAAAGAAAGAAAAAGAAACTACTGCCCTCCTCAGCTGGCACTGCCATTTTTTTAATGGGCCAGTTGGTTGGACATTTGTGTGTGTTTGTGACAGAGTCTCGCTGTGTCATCCAGGCTAGAGTACAATGGTGCCATCTCAGCTCACTACAACTTCTGCCTCCCAAGTTCAAGCGATTCTCATGCCTCAGCCTCCCCAGTAGCTGGGATTGTAGGCATTCGCTACCACACCCGTCTAATTTTTTTTGTATTTTTAGTAGAGATGGGGTTTCACCATTTTGGCCAGGCTGGTCTCAAACTCCTGACCTCAAGTGATCCGCCCACCTCAGCCTCCCAAAGTGCTGGGATTACAGGCGTGAGCCACCGTGTCTGGCCGCTGGTTGGACATTTGTACCTAATATGCAGCTGTATGAAATAGGATAAGGTTCTTTGTCTGTCTGCTATCTGAAATTGGAAGAGACTGGATTAGAAGATCTGAATTTTTAAGCTTTAAAATTACCTTATTTAAATCATCTTCCCATTCAGATATATTGAAACAATATATAATCACTTACAATCTTGCTTTCAGATTTGCTTAGAAAAAGTATTAAGCACCAAAACTGTAAAATGGGGGTTGTTTGTGTGTTTTGGTAGAGATAGTTCTATGTTGCTCATGCTGGTTTCAAACTCCTGGTCACAACTATCCTCTGGTCTCAGCCTCTTAAAGCACTGGGATTACAGGCATGAGCCATCTCACCTGAACAAAAAATTTGTGAATTTTTTAATGTGTACATTAACTAGTTAATAATTATGATATTCTTTGCTTATTGATGTTTAGCATTGTTTTGTTTTTGTGTATATATTTTCCTTCTGAAGTATCACCTCTGTCATTATGTTCAATTATTCATCACTTTATAGAGTTCATAGATTTCACCAAATTAAACCACGAATCAGTCTAATTTTCTGTCTACTTCTGTTGTGGATGTAGAATATATTTTACTCAGATTTTCCCAAGCACTACTCTTTGACCAACTCCATGGTTTATAGCATATTTATAGCGTTGACAGGTTCTATCGACAGGTGTATTTTATAGCCTCTACCATTATAGAAGTTCTCTCATCCTCTAACCATCTTAATTCCTCCAGACCCACGTCAAACATTAGGAATTCCTCTCATGCCAAGATATTTTTAAAGTTCCTTAACTTTTAAAGTACCCCAGCTCCTCTGATTAGTTTCATTATATTAAAGTTTGACTTTATATCAAATCTCTAATAAAATTTGACTTTATGTCAAATCGCTGATTTCCTCTTCCACTGAGAATACCTTGTTATATAAAAAAAGTTTTTTATACTCTCTAATTCTGTACATTCTGAGTTTATTATATTTTATTTTCTTAAAGTAAGAACCTGTTTTACAAAATCAGAATCCTGATTTTAGTAGATCAAAATTTTTAGAAAAATCACAAAAGATTAACTTTTTCTCTGTAATTGCTGTTACCAAAAAGTAAAGTTTGCTAAAAATATGTTTTGTGTTCCCAATAAGTGACTCAATATTTCAGCAAAGAGTTTTCAGATAGAATTGCTATGTGGCCTATTTTATTGGGAAAGCAGCCTTTCCTAAACTAATGAAAGACAATTATTTGCATCAAGAATTGTCTTCCCTTTTTTGCTATGGTTCCAAACAAGCATTTTCTTTTTACATGGTAAGCATTTTGGAGACCATTTTGAAAGGAATTACAAATGTTATGTCTTATAGCAAATCGTTGGCACAATTGAATGTTTCTAAGAAATTCTTTGTAAGTTTAGCTTTGCAACTCTTACTTTCAAATCTCTTTGATTCCCTCATCATCTATAATGCTCTTTTTTTTTTTTTTTTTAAAGAGAGACGGGGTCTCACTAAGTTGCCCAGACTGGACTCAAACTCTTGGGCTCAAGCAATTCTCCCGCCTCAGCCTCCTGAGTA